TAACTGACTTCTGAAGTGAGGGCTGTCTTCTGGGATGGAGCCCTTCAACCTGTGGAGCCTGACAGTATCAGAACTGAATCAAACTGTAGGACACCTAATCAGTGTCTGCAGGGCATCAGAGAACTGTTTGGTGTGAGAAAAAAACTCCACACATCTAGTGTCAGAAATGTGGCAAATAAAAATGGCTCACTGGGTATCTAACACCAGAGGAGGAGGTATATATAAGGCAGTTTGGGGGTGACCGTTTTGATTTTCTTAGAGAACTTCTAACTAAACTCTTCAAAATAAAACAGTCTTAAACCCAGAGAAGACTTCTGGGGCTCTGCATATACCTTACCTTTGATGTTTCTTATGGTTTCAGATTTCAATACCTGGCATTTCCCCGGAGAATGTTACCTTTTCCCTAAATTTGGTGATATTAAAGTATCAGTTGTTCAAAGTTTTATATACATAAAAAAAATTGCTACTTTTTCGATTGCTTTCACACATTTCCAGTGACACCTCTAATTCCTATGTACTAGGGACAGTTACCTTGTAGGAACAAAAGTAGCTGGAGGTGTCACTGTAGCTGTTGTATAGCACTTTACACAGGATTTGGAAATTGTCAATTAACCATATCAAAGAGTGGGGGGATGCTACCAAACTGCCACTAGCCCTCGATGGCAATGCCAACGATTATCCCATTTCATCCTCACAACATCCTATTTTGCAGATGAAGAAACTGAGTCACGGCAGCGAAGTAACTTGCCCTATACAATGAGTTGGCACTGTCAGCTGGACCTTGAAATCCAAGGCTCTGACCTTGGTCTGTTGCCCTGTGAACCAGCTTTAGCCATCAAGCAAACTCTACAGTAACAGGCCTGTGGACTGTGTGTTACACCCACTGAGCTGACTGACCATACTATCACAAGCGTTTCTAAAGACCCACCACAAGGCGCGCCTCCTCCTCCTTCAGCCGCTGTGCTGCCTGCCTTTGTGCCTGAATGCTGGTGATCTGGGCACTCAGCCCCAGGCGTGTGTTCTCCACCAGCTCTTTCTGTCTTCTGGCCTCTTCGGCTTCTCGCTTCTCTTTGGCCAGTCGGTCTTCCTCCCAGAGCTTTGAGAACATCTGCTCTTCCACCAACTTTTGCCTTTTCAGCTCCTCATTAAATGCTATCTGTGCTTTCCGCTCCTCGCACACCGTCTTCTGATTGATACAAAACAACTCAACACGGAGCTCCTCGCAGTGTTCCCTGAAAGGACAGTTTAAAAAAGACACTCAGCCTTTCATAAGGCATTGCTCTATTTAGGCACAAGCCTGCAGAGTCATACACTGAAGTAAGTAAGTTAAAGACCTGGATGTAGGCCATCTAAGCCGGGGAAACCCACGAGGGAGCAGCAGGGAGGCAGGCACCATAGTGCCACAGACAGAATACAGGCACTGGAGTCAAGCAGAGCAGGTCTGAATCCTGGTTTTGACACTTTCTGTGTGACTTTGGATCAAAAACTCCATCTATCTGAGCCTGTTCCCATATCTGTAAAAGAACTGTCTTTTCAGATTCTGGTAGGGATCAGAGATAAATATCTGATAGATAATAGGAACTCAGTAAATGGTAGCTACTATTATTACTTGAGAGGAATAGAAGAGGGACGGGTCTCTGCAACATTATAAATAAACTAAGGCTTTGGTAGGGAGAGACCCTGCGTGTATATCCAAGAAAAGATCCAAGGACAGAGTCAGCATATCATGGTGAAGTTTCCCCATTGCCTCTGGATTCCTGGCAGGGCACATGTCCACTGAAGGGGTTTCTGCCACAGTTGAGAAAACAGCCCTACTGTTGTTGCCTTTTCACACTCAGGCTTATGTTATCATTCAAGAAGAAATGCTATTTCAATAAGTGTTTAGACTTCATCCTTTCTTCCAGCCTTAGTAATTTAAATTTCTTCAAATGTTTTCAATTGAGCCCATTTTAAATTTAAGAGTTGTGATATTCAACACTGACTGTAGAATTAGAATTATTTAGTGATATGTTCAAAATCCCACTCTCCCCTTCCTCCCTCTCCCTCTCTCAGACCTGATTTGTTAAATCAGAACATCAGGGGATAGGACCTATGCACATTTTTTCAGATCTCCTCAGGTGGTTCTGACATACAGTCAAATTTGAGAACCTCTGATGGAAGGCAACGTTTTATAAACATCAAGTCTTCCTGGTTTCTAAATCAAATTCTGCATCAAGAAGCTAAAATTTGAATGAAGCTGGAGGAATAACCCTCCCAGACCTCAGACACTACTACAGAGCTATGGTAATCAAAACAGCATGGTATTGGCATAAAAACAGATATATGGATCAATGGACCAAAATAGAGAGCCCAGAAATAAATCCACAGACCTATGATCAATTAATCTTCAACAAAGGAGGCAATAGACAATGGAGAAAAGACAGTCTCTTCAGCAAGTGGTGTTGGGAAAACTGGATAACAGCAAGTAAATCAATGAACTTAGAACACTCCCTCACCCCATACACAAAAATAAACTCAGAATGGCTTAAAGACTTAAATATAAGACAAGACATGATAAATCTCCTAGAAGAAAATACAGACAAAACATTCTCTGACAAAAATCTTAGCAATGTTCTCCTAGGGCAGTCTACCCAGGGAATTAGGAATAAGAGCAAAAGTAAACAAATGGGACCTAATTACACTCAAAAGCTTTTGCACAGCAAAGGAAACCATAAGCAAAACAAAACAACAACCTACGGAATGGGAGAGAATATTTGCAAAAGACAATTATTTTTTTGCTATGACACTAAATGTAAAGGCAACAAAAGCAAAAACAAACAGGTGGGACTACATCCAATTAAAAAGCTTCTGCACAGCAAAGGAAAGCACAACATAAAGAGGCGACCTACAGAATGGGAGGGAATATTTTCAAACCATACATCTGTTAAAGGATTGATACCTAAAATATATAAGAAACTCATATAATGCAATAGCAAAACATACACACACACACAAACTAACTAAAAAATGAGCAAAGGTCCTGAATAAACATTTTTCCAAGACATACAAATGGACAAAAAGTACATGAAAAGGTACACAACATCACTAATCACCACGAAAATGGAAATCAAAACCACAATGAGATATCACACCACACCTGTTAGGATGGTTATTATAAAAAAAAAAGATGACAAGTGTTGGCAAGGATGTAGACAAAAGGACACCTCTGTATATTGTTGGTGGGAACATAAACTGGTATAGCCATTGTGAAAAACAGCGTGGAGATTCCTCAAAAAATTAAAATTAGAACTACCATATGGAAACAAACTAAGTGTCCATTGATGTATGAATGGATAAAGAAAGTGTGTATATATACAATGGAATATTATTCAGCATAAAAAGAAGAAAATCCTGCCATTTGAGACAACATGGATGAAGCTGGAGGACATTACAATAAGTGAAATAAGCCAGAGAAAGACACATACTGTATAATCTCACTTAAATGTGGAATCTAAAAAAAAAAGAAAAAATTGAACATACAGAAACAATAACATGCTGGTTCCCAGGGGCTACGAGGTGGGAGAATTTGGAAGATATTGGCCAAAGGATATAAACTTTCAGTTATAAGATGAATGAGTAAGTTCTAGGGATCTAAAGTATTGTATAGTCACTATAGGTAAATTTGTTGAGAGCAAATCTTATGTATTCTCACCACAAAACAAACAAAACCCCTCAGTGCCTGCATTACTCAATGATAAATATATAATTACCAAGACTTAGAGGTACAACTATTGTATATATTCTCTTAAGGCTACAATTTACTGCAAATTAGCTTTCCTAAGTCATTTTAAACATACCAACTTCAGATTCTGTGTGGTGTGTTTTTCTGACATCATTACCTGAATTGCTGGTCTAACTTTTCAGCCACAAAATCCTGTCTCTCTTTTTCTTTCTTCTCTCTTAATAATCTGATTTTATCTCTCATTCTATCCTTTTTCTCCTCAATTGTTTCTCCTTTCATTTGCATTTCAGTCAAATACTCATTTTCTTCTGATGCTAAAAGTTCACGTAACCTAAGTTCACAAAACAAGAGGACAACAACAAAAAAGAAATTAAAACTGTCATGCCACATGTACCATTTCACTAATTGACTTTTATTTTGTTAAATTCAATTTCAGAAGTACATGTTAATCATAAATTTTGCAAGAAGGAAAAGATCACTTTAGTATTCCACAAAGTAAGATCAATTGCCATTTAAAGCAATAAAGAGACTGACCTGGGCCATGTTTTATTTGATCACATACAGATGAGACACGTAATGTGTATTTTCAACAAAAAAAGCAAAATGATTAGATTTTAATTAAAATAACAAAATAGGAAATGAAATAGTCTTTTGCTTTCTATCATAGGCTACCACAAGTGAAAATATAAACAAACCATAGCTACCGGTTTGGTAGGAATATAAGTAGCTTGGCCATGATCCTCATTAT